ACTTTTGCCCACTTTTTTTGTTTGTTTTTGCTTTTTTAGTAGTCTCTATGCCCAACATGGGGCTTGAACTTAGGTCCCAGAGATTAAAAGTCACATGATCTTACTTACTGAGCCAGCCAGGCACTCCTGCCCACTTTTAAATTGTATCCTTATTTTATTCTAAGTTGTAATAATTCTTTATATATTCAGGATACTAAACCCTTATCAGATATATGATTTTCCAATATTTTGTACCACTCTGTAGATTGTCATTTCACTTTCTTGATAATATCCTTTGGTGTATATTAAATTTTACATTTTTATGAAGTTCAATGTATCTAAATTTTTTATTGCTTATACTTTTGGTGTCAAAATCTAAGAATCTATTGACAAATAGGAGGTCATGAAGATACTCCTGTTTTTTGCTAATAACTTTAAAATTTTTGTTCTCATATTTAGAGTCCAGAAATCTAAATTAATATTAGTTTCTGGAGTAGAATTTAGTGATTCATCACTTCCTATAACACCCAGGGCTCATCACAAGTGCCCTAAAGTCCTCTTAAATTTTGTACTCTTAAAGGTTTTGTTTAATAATTTCTAGTTTTCAGTGTGCAAGTATTTTACCTCCTTCATTAAATTTATTCTTAGGTATTTTATTCTCTTTGATATTAATGAAATGGTTTCCCCACTCTCCTTTTTAGATGGTTAATTGCTGGTGTATGAAAATACAAGTGATTTTTGTTTGTTGATCTTGTATTCTGTAACTTTGCTCTATTTGCTTATTAGTAGTTTCTTTGTGGTTTCATTTCAATTTTCTATATATAGAATGATGTCTGCAATTAGAGATGGTTTAACTTAGTCCTTTACAATATAGATATCTTTTATTTCTCTTTCTTACCTACTTGTTCTGACTGTGGCTCCCAGTACATGAATAGGACACTCTACTCACAAAACAAGAATATCAAGATGAGGGTGCCTGGGTGCTCAGATGGTTGAGCGTCTGCCTTTGGCTCAGGTCATGATCCTGGGGTCCTGGGATCGAGTCCCTCATCAGGCTTCCTGCTCAGTGGGGAGCCTGCTTCTCCCTCTGTCTCTCATTAATAAATAAACTCATAAAAAGATATCAAGATGAAAATGAAAAGGTGAGTAAAGCAAATACTACCACGCATGCCTGGGTGGCTCAGTCAGTTAAGCGTTTGCCTTTGGCTCAGGTCATGATCCCAGGGTCCTGGGATCAAGTCCGACATCGGGTTCCCTGCTCAGCAGGGAGTCTGTTTCTCTTTCTCCTTCTGCCCCTCCCCACCAATCATGTGCTCTCTCTCTCTCTCACATAAATAAATAAAATCTTTTAAAAAAATGAGATTTAAAAAAAAAGCAAATACTACCAAAAAAGGTAAATGCAAACAGTACTGAGAACAGACTAATTAGAAACACTGAATAGGACTTGAAGTTGCTCCGTGGTTTTAAAAGAGAAAACCCATTAAGAAGACGTATTAATTTCTATAGCTCTAAATTAAATAGCTCTGAAATGTATTAAGCAAAATTTAGTGGGAATACCTAGAGAAAGTTTCTTAACATGATCATAAATTTATTTATTATAATCACTTATAGAAATGGAAGTGCTAAGTTTTTAAAAATAATTAAGGCTAATTTCTGTTGGGGTGAATACAATGGTGTTTGTTCTATTAATATTACTTATATCTACATTACAAATCTAATTTTATATGTGTTAAGCATATAATATAAATTAATAAATAAAAGACATGATCAATACAAAACAACAGATGCTGCAGTAACTATACAGAGAAACATTAAAGTTTGCAACTTTTTGTGTTAATTTTGGTATAATATTGTTAAAATATACATACACACGTTAAACATTTGCTTTTTAAGTAACATGAAAATTCACATAACTTGATTATATTCAAAACTAAACCTTATGAATTAAGATGGAAGAAATCACAAAATATATTGACTATAATGATATAAAATTTTTTTAAAAAATGAAACACTAGGAGATTGTAAAAATGAATGCATCCATCAAGCCATTTGTACAAGTAGGAATTCTTGGCTAAAGGAGAAAAATAAAAATAAAAATTATAACCTTGACTTTCAGAAGAAAAAAGGAAAAGGGTAGAAAAGCTTTAACTATGACTAAATAAGCTTCAAAAAGCAATAAATAAAAATTAGCTTCAAGAAGTTAGTAATTATTAAATTCATTGAAAATGTGACTAAAAGAATAGAGCTTTTTTTAAATAAAAAAATAGAAAAATGATAGGCAAGAATATTCAGAAAGAGACATAGCTACAGGCATGGAGGAGATTAAGTAATCATACAATTTAGTTCTTGCATAAAAATTACCCAAGATGTCTCTGTTTTGTCTAGAGAGAGCAGTGTACTTCAGATTGTAGGTGTTAACAAGCAATTTCTTTGCATTTGTTTTGCTTATTTGGTAATTTTCTTCTGTGCCTAGTTTAAATTTAAGTTTGTTTGTTTTTTTTCATAATCTCTACCAAACTCACGACCCTGAGATCAAGAGTCACATGCTCCACCAACTAAGCCAGCCAGGCACCCCATGCCTAGTTTAAATTATATAAGGCATAGATGCTAATAGTATGTTAGGTATTATAATGTGTAACTTTTTTCTGGTGTTAATGTGAAGTATTGTTTGATGTGAGATATAGACCATAAACATCTAAATATTTTTTATTTTTATTTTTTGTAAATAAGCTCTATATCCAATATAGGGCTGAAACTCATGACCCAGAGATCAAGAGTTGCATGCTCTGTGGACTGAGCTAGCCAGGCGACTTTAAATTTTTTTTTAAGATTTTTATTTCTTTTAAAAGAATTTATTTATTTATCTGTTTATTTATTTAAGGTTGAGAACAGGGTCAGAGGGGAAGACAGAATCCCAAGCATGTGCCACACCCAGCACTGTGCCTGACAAGGAGCTTGATCTCACAAACCTAATATCTTGACCTGAGCCGAAATCAAGAGTTGGACACAACCTACTGAGCCACCCAGGTGTCCCAATGTGCTCTCGCTTTTCATCTGTGAGATAAATAAAGAAAATCTGGCCTTACACATCCAGAATTTAAAAATGAAGAAGTATTCTAACGGCCTTTTCAGGTATTTGTCAATATTATTGACACTCCACCAAAAATCAACAAGTGGTAATTTCTTAAATGTTATTATAATGTGGAATCTGACCTTTATCTCTCTCTCTCTAAGATTGGTATTAATTGTAATTTTTTTTGCAGGTTTTTTTTAAGTAAACTCTATCCCCAAGGTGGGGCTCGAACTCACGACTCCGAGATCAAGAGCTGCATGCTCCACTAACTGAGCCAGGTACCCCAAGCCTCCCATCTCTTAAGTTAAAATCCTTTTGTCTATCTTATACTTTAATATCACTGCAGATGATTTTGTGGCATCACACAGTAATCATTCAGAAAATACTGGTCCAAGGAGTTAGGCAGACCTTCCAAAGGTTGACATAGCTCATTATATGGTATATGGTATTACAAAATCACATTCATTAATACCATCAGTAATCTCATCACAAAAGACTAAGTATCAGAAAGCTGTCAAGTTCATGGTCATTACAGATACATTTTAATATGCTAACTTTTGGTCTGAAAGTCAAATTAACAAAAATTACTACCAGTTTTCTTTATTATCAGGTTTTATAAATCACTTCATTTTTGACAAGATGCTTACCAGATATACAGGTCTTCATCCACTTATTCAAAATTCATCAATTGTTCTTTCAAATAAAATGGGTGTCCATAAAAAGGTGGCTAGTTTGGCTCACAACTCAAACAATCATAAAAGTGCATTTCCTGGAAACAACTTGGTATTTCAGAATGAAGGAAAAATTGATGTGCCTTTCTCTCATTATATAAAATATTTAGAAGATAAATTTTAATATCCTGGCTGTAACATTATAGTTTTGCAAGACATTACCAACAGGGTAAACTGGGCAAGGAGCTCATGGGATCTCTCCACATAATTTCTTACAAATGGATGTGAATCTAAAATTATCTCAAAATAAAAAGTATAATTTAAAAATTTTGAGGTGCCTGGGGTAGCTCAGAGGGTTAAGCCTCTGCCTTCAGCTCAGGTCATGGTCTCAGGGTCCTGGGATGGAGCCCCGCATTGTGCTCTCTGCTCAGCAGGGAGCCTGCTTCCTCCTCTCTCTCTCTCTCTCTCTCTGCCTACCTCTCTGCCTACTTGTGATCTCTGTCAAATAAATAAATAAAATATTTTTTTAAAAATGTAAAAGATACATGTTTACTGTGGGAATCCTTATTTTTGTGACATCATTTTATGAAAAAGAATAATTCAATTCTAGGATACAAAGAGATTAAAACTCTAAAAGTATTTTTCTATTGAGAAGGAGAAATGACAGCAGGCCAGGATTTATCCCAGGGAAGGAAAGAGGAGGGCAAGCTACACCAGCAGCTCCATCTAGGATAATGTTTCATAATTCTTCACCGGGTTCTGATCACTCCACCTAAACTTAGATTTTGAACAAAAATTAAGACTCCTACACCTTGGGGTGCCTGGCTGGCTCGGTCAGTAGAGCATGTGACTCTTAATCTCAGGGTCGTGAGTTCAAGCCCCATGCTGGGCATGGAGCCTACTTAAAAGAAAAAATTAAATTAAATTAAAAAGACCTCTGCACCTCATATTATCTGAGCTCTATCTTTCCTAACGCTAACTTTGGTTATTGAGACTTTCTGAGACCTATGTTTATTTTTTCCCTCGGTTGAGAGCCAATGACTCAAATACTGAATCTTGTACTTGCTATTTTCTTTTTTTTTTTTTTTAAAGATTTTATTCATTTATTTGACAGAGAGAGATCACAAGCAGGCAGAGAGGCAGGCAGAGAGAGAGGAGGAAGCAGGCTCCCTGCTGAGCAGAGAGCCCGATGCGGGGCTCGATCCCAGGACCCTGAGATCATGACCTGAGCCGAAGGCAGCGGCTTAACCCACTGAGCCACCCAGGCGCCCCTTGTACTTGCTATTTTCATAATAACTTGAAATCCTGCTTCCTCACTTTCTAAATACTCATATAAAAGTGAGTTTGTTTTTCTATTTTTTATGCAGTTCTATTCTAGATATCTGTCCACAGATGAAAAAGACATGTTACTATACAGTTCTTATATTATCCTGCCATTTCTAAAAATTTTGCTTTCCAAATAAAACTCAGAATAATTTAGTCAAGTTCCATGAAAAAAAAAATTGGGCCCTGGCTCAGAATTATAAGTGAATCTATGCAACACCGCCCTTCTCAAAAAGAGAGTATTCCCAACCAGAAAAGTCATGTATTTTACAATGGCTGGAAAGATTTAAACCAAAGAATTACCTATGGGATGTAGTATGGTAATTCAAAGAATGGAAAGTAATTTCATTTTCTATTTCTGTATACGTGAGTGTGTTTTCTTCGTGAAAGCACAGAACACATTTCTAGTCTAAATATGCCAGTAAATAAAACTATTTTTGGTATGAATTCAACCTGGAAACCAGAGAAGGCCTCAGGAAATAAGCAAAAATGGATACTTCTTCCCAAAATCTACAGCTAGGATAGTCACAATTTTTCTCACCAGTTAGCTTGTTGCATAATAAAACCTTCTACCTATGTACCATCTCTGTTCCCATGAATTCACCATTTCCCAAACTGTCCCCTGAAGCGGACTCTGCTGGCTCATTCTCTGGGAAACCAAGATTAAATCAGCCATGATTTCTGTCAAGTCTCTTGTTCTCAGAAGGTTAAGACAGACATTAAGAGATGAGCTCTAGTGTTGCTGTTTCTCCAACATCAAGGTTACTGTATAAAGAGTGTTCAAGTATTCTTGGGAAACAACATTAGAAAAGCCTCCATTCCCTAATTTCAACCTCTTGGAAGTACCCCCTCTATCACATTACCTGACAGATCTTCCATAACCCACCATCCCTACTAGAGAATGTCAGAGCTCTGAAAATGTGCGGGCAGCTCTCCTTCACGGGGACTAGAGATGTTGACTCTTAACCATTGGGCTCATGAACATTCCCATCACACATAAGATGTCTCCACTTTGGTGTCTGGCAATGCCCGACTTATTACTAAAGCCACACTAAAGCCCTAGGTGTGACTTCTGGTATCTCAAGAAGTATGAGTCTTGGCTAAAGACTTCACTACACTCCTACATACAAGGTTTCTATCCTGAATGTGTCCTCTGATGTCTGATGAGGTTTGATTTCCGACTAAAGCATCGCCCACACTTCCTACAAATATAAGGCTTCTCTCCCGAATGTATCCTCTGATGTCTTACAAGGTGTGACTGCCGGCTAAAGCCTTGCCCACACTCCCTGCACACATGAGGCTTCCCCCCTGCGTGTGCCTTCTGGTGGGTGATGAGAGTCAACTTATCACAAAAGCCTTGCCCACATTCCCCGCACACAAAAGGTATGCTACCTGAGTGTGCCCTCCTGTGCCTAAAGAGATTTGGCTTCTGGCTAAATCTTTTACCACACTCCCTGCATATGAAAGGCTTTTCCCCTGAATGTGTTCTCTGGTGTGAGATGAGGGTTGACTTATCATTAAAGCCTCGTCCACATTCCTTACATACAAATGGCTTTTCCCCTGAGTGTGTCCTCTGGTGCGTGATAAGGGTTGATTTCCGGGTAAAGCCTCGCCCACATTCCCTGCACACAAATGGCTTCTCCCCCGTGTGTGACGTCTGGTGTTTGCTGAGGTTTGACTTCAGGCTAAAGCACTGCCCACACTCGAGGCACATATAAGGTTTAATGCCTGAGTGTGTCCTCTGGTGGGTCTTGAGGTTTGATTTCCAGCTAAAATGGCGCCCACATTCTGTGCATATGTAAGGCTTCTCTCCTGTGTGTATCCGTAAGTGTCTAATGAGGTGTGACTTCTGACGAAAGCCACGTTCACACTCCCTGCACACATAAGGCTTCTCTCCCGAATGTGTCCTCTTATGCCTGATGAGATGTGAATGCTGGCGAAAGCCATGCCCACACTCCCTGCACACATAAGGCTTCTCCCCAGAGTGTGCCCTCTGGTGCGTGATAAGGTTTGACTTCAGACTAAAGCTCTGCCCACATTCCTTGCACATGTATGGCTTGACCCCTGAATGTGTCCTCTGGTGTGTGAAGAGGTTTGACTTCCAAGTAAAGCCTCGTCCACACTCTTTGCACACGTAAGGTTTCTCCCCTGAATGTGTCCTCTGGTGTGTGATGAGGTTTGACTTCCAGGTAAAACCTCGTCCACACTCCTTGCACACATGAGGCTTGTCCCTAGAGGGCGTCCTCTGGTTTTTTATGAGGATTGACATATTGCCAAAGCCCTGGCCCCACTCGGTGAACACGCACGGTGTCTCCCCTGTGTGTATCTTCTGGAGGCTGAGCAGGTTTGACTCCTTCATGAAGCCTAGCCCCAACTCCCCGTATTTGATTGCTCCAAATCCTGAGACTTTTACACCATGCAACACTTTGTCTGTTTCCCCAAGGTCTGTCCTCTGGTCTCGACTGGGCCCTGTGGCCGTCACTGCCCTGTCTTGCTCCACCCTTACTGGCTGTCGTTGCAGTGGGCAGGACAACACCTTTGAAGTGCCACCCTTGCTCTCGGACAAGGGCTCGGAGTCTTCTGTCTCTTGAATTTCTGCTTTGTCACTCCAGCAGGTTTCACCAAAGAGTTGCCTCTGCTGCTGTTTTTGATCTTCTGGATAGTGTTTCCCCAGAGGGAGATGATTCCCTGCACGTAAACTTGAGAAGAGCTGAGGAAAGTGACTGAACCACACGTGCTGGCTGAGGCCTTGCTGACTAGTGAATGCCAGCGGGCAGTGGGGACAAGGTGGAATGTTTAGCTTTGATTCTGCTGAAGAAAGAACAGTTTTAGTCAGAGTAGCCATGGGTAGGGTTGCCGGAGCCATTCTGCTTTGCCAGTTGGTCGTTTGTAATATGTTTATATCACAACCTGTGTCTCCCTCAGACACCCTCGCGTCATAAACAAGAGCTATTTTTCATTTTACTTTATACACTATATTTTTTAAAAAAGATTTATTTATTTGAGAGCAAAACAGAGAGAGTGAGTGAGAGAAAGAGAGCATAAGCAGGATGAGGGGCAGAGGGAGAGGAAGAAGCAGACTCCCCACTGAGCAAGGAGCCTGATGTGGGGCTCGATCCCAGGACCCTGGGATCATGATTTGAGCTGAAGGCAGAGGCTTAATCAACCGAGCCACCCAGGTGTCCCTATAAACTACATTTTTAATTACATGAGTTAGCAAACTTGTCAGGTAGGCCAAATTCAGCCTGCAACCTGTTTTTGTATGACCCACCAGACAAAAATGGGTTTTACCTTTCTAAGGATTTCTTTCTAAGAAAGAGAAATAAATAAATAAGCAAACAAACAAACCAGCCGATGGGGCAACAGACGGCATGTGACCTGGAAAGCTTAAAATCCTTCCTGGGTGGCCCCTTGTCTTACTGCAATGTAGAAAACTCCTACCAAAAACTTATTTTCACAATATCTGACAGAGCAAAAAGTTTACTTTCAGAAATCAAACACATACAATACAGGGAGAAGTATTTATTCATGAAAAACACTGAGCCCTGGATAAGAAAAGCAGGAATCTGGAGCATTATTGCCTAGAGAAGCACTCGCCCTTCGGATCCCCAGCTTGGTTGGTATGGTAGTTAAATTCGGACAGGTCCTAAAATGATCAGTTCTGTTCCTGTTACAGGGGCAGTCACCTGATTTGGGTGGAAGCTGAGAAACCAGTGCTGGGTGGACCTGTCAATAAATGTGGCTTAGGGAAGGCCACCAGTGACTGCTATCTGAGGTTGCAGACTTGGCAGGGACCCCCCCACCCAAACCCAAACAAAAAACAAAAGCCAAAAAACACAAAACCAAACAAAAACAAAAACAAAGACTGGTAGATGATCCAGAAAAGTAGCAGGGGAAAACCTGAAAGTGAGAGAGCAAGGGAGGGGCTTGATAAACTCCATGAAACCCCAGGTGATTGGAAGGCTGTTTGCAAAAGTAGGGGAAATGGGTAGAGGCCCGGGCTACGCACATAACCCTGCCTGACACAGAGGCTATAATCAGGTACAGAGGGAACATTAGAGGGATCGGTGCAAAGTAAAAAGCCAGACAAGACCTGGAAACTATCTGAAATTTGAAGGAGCTCCCCAACCCACCCATTTCTCCACTGACGGAGGTAGGAAGCCTCACTGGCTCAGTCTTTGAACACAGCCTATTGCTAATTGTTGCAGATCACGGAGCTCTGCAGATACAAGGCTGAAATCAGGAAGCCAGGATTAAAATTAAACACAAGAATACAATAACAAATCAAGCAAGCGGAAACATCACCTTCACAGAGAAAACATATTCCATATATTTAGTCTAGACAAGTTTACTAAAAGTCACAACAACAACGTCTAGGCAGGAAACATCACCAGCTATCAGAGGGGCTACAACATCTAAAATATCCAGTTTCCAATGGAAGAGGAAAGAGGAACCCAGAGTGAGGAAAAAATGCAGACAATAGAAACTGTTGCTGGGTGGCCCACATGTTGATTTATAGGGGGAAAGAGAGTTCAAAGCTGTTACTATAAATGTATATAAAGAACTAAAGGAAACAAAGTGTAAAAACTTAAAGGAAAGCATGGTAACTTAAGAAATAGAAAAATCTCAATAAAGGATAAAAACTATTAAAAATATAAAAGGAAATTCTGGAATTAAAAAATCAAATAAATTACAAAATTACTAGGAAGGCACAACAGCATATTTGGGTTTGCAACAGAACAAATGAAGTTGAAGATAAATCAATAGAAATTACCTAAACTGAAAAGCAGTTAAAAGAAAACTGAAGAAAAGCAAAGAGCCCCAGAAACCTGTGGGACACCGTCAGGTAAGTCAGTCTATCTGTAATGGGAATGCACGAAGGAGAACACAGAGAGAAAAGAGCAGAAAAAAATGTCTCAAGAAATAATAACTAAAAAGTCTGAAATTTGTTGAAAAACATTAGTCTATAAGTCTAAGAAGCTCAACGAACTGCAAGAAAAACATCAAGGGGGCCTGGGTGGCTCAATGGGTTAAGCCTCTGCCTTCAGCTCAGGTCATGATCCCAGGGTCCTGGGATCGACCCCTGCATTGGGCTCCCTGCTGAGCGGGGGAGCCTGCTTCCCCCTCTCTCTCTGCCTACTTGTGATCTCTCTCTCTCTGTCAAATAAATAAATAAATAAATACTTTTTTTTAAATTTATTTTTTATTATTATTTTTTTAATTTTATTTTTTATAAACATATATTTTTTTCCCCAGGGGTACAGGTCTGTGAATCGCCAGGTTTACACACTTCACAGCACTCACCATAGCACATACCCTCCCCATTTAAATTTATTTTTTTAAAAAAGAAAAACATCAAGAGGGTGCCTGGGAGGCTGAGTCAGTTAAGCATCTGCCTCTGGCTCAGGTCATCATCCCAGGGTCTTGGGATCAAGTCCCACATTGGGTTTCCTTCTCACTGGGGAGTGTGCTTCTCCCTCTCCCTCTGACTCTCCTCAGACTTAAGCTTCTGCACTCTCTCTCTCTATCTCTCTCAAATAAATAAATAAATAAATAAATAAATAAATAAAATCTTTTAAAAAAATTTTTTTTGCCATCCTACTAGTAGGATGACAATAAACACATATCTTCCAATAGTAACCCTCAACGTGAACGGCCTACGTGCTCCCATGAAACAGCACAGGGTTGCACACTGGATACAAAGATAGGTCCCATCCATATGCTGTCTATAAGAGACTTATTTTGAACCTAAAGACACCTCCAGAACGAAAGTGAGGGGATGGAGAACCATTTTTCAAGCCAACACACCTCAAAAGAAAGATGGGGTAGCAATTCTTATACCAGACAAACTAGAATTTAAACCAAAGACTGTAATAACAAATCCAGAGGGACACTACATCATTCTTGAAGGGTCTATCCAACAAGAAAATCTAACAATTTTAAATATCTATGCCCCCAATATGGGAAGAGCCAACTACATAAGCCAGATATTAATCAAAATAAAGAATCAGATCAACACTCATATATTAACAGGATGTTTTAACTCTCCACTCTCAGCACTGGACAGATCATCTAAACAGAAGATCAACAAAGAAACAAGAGCTTTGAACAACACATTGGACCAGATGGACTTCATAGATATATACAGAACATTCCACTCTAAAACAACAGAATACTCATTCTTCTCGAATGCACACAGAACTTTCTCCAAAATAGACCACATACTGGGTCACAAATCAGGTCTTGGCCAATACTAAAAGACTGAGATGATTCCTTGCATGGTATCAGACCACAACGCCTTGAAACTGGAACTCAATCACAAGAAAAAAACTGGAAGGAATTCAAACACTTGAAAGTTAAAGAGCATCCTGCTAAAGAATGAATGGGTCAACCAGGAAATTAAAGAAGAACTTAAACAATTCATGGAAACCAGGGAGAATGAAAACACATCAGTCCAAAACCAATGGGATACTGCAAAGGCAGTTCCAAGCCTTTCTCAAAAAAGTAGAAAAATCCCAAATGCACAAGCTAACCCTACACCTAAAGAAGCTGGAGAAAGACCAGCAAATAAAACCTAAATCAAGCAGGAGAAGAGAAATAGTAAAGATTAGTACAGAGACCAATGAAATAGAAACCAGGAAAACAGGAGAATAGATCAATGAAACCAGAAGCTGGTTCTTTGAAAGAATTAATAAGATTGATAAACCACTGGCTAAACTTACCCAAAAGAAAAAAGAAAGGTCCCAAATTAATAAAATCATGAATGAAAGGGGAGAGATTATGACTAACACCAAGGAAATAGGAACAATTATTAGAAATTACCAGCAACTGTATGCTAATAAATTAAGCAACTTGAAAGAAATGGATGACTTCCTACAAATGACCAAGACTGAAAGAGGAAGAAACAGAAATCTGAATAGACTAATAACCAGTAACAAAATTAAAGCAGTGATCAAAAACCTTCCCAAAAACCAAAGTCCAGGGCCAAATGGCTTCCCAGGGGAATTCCACCAAGCATTTTAAAAAATTAATCAATTAATTTTGTATTAACATATAGTGTATTATTTGTTTCAGATAATAAGATACAGGTCTGTGAATTGTCAGTCTTACACAATTCACAGTGCTCACCAAAGCACATACCCTCCCCAGTGTCCATCACCCAGTCACCCCATCCCTCCCACCCTTATCCCCTCCAGCAACCCTCAGTTTGTTTCCTGAGATTAAGAGACTCTTATGGTTCATCTCCCTCCCCAGTCCCATCTTGTTTCATTTTTCCCTCCCTTCCCTCCACACCCCCGCCCTGCCTCTCAAATTCCTCATGTCAGAGATCAAAAATACGGAATGCTTCTCAAATTTGCATGTCATCATTGTGAATGGGTCACGCTGATCTTCTCTGTATCGTTCCAATTTTAGTGTATGTGCTGCCGAAGCAAGCACTCTACCAAACATTTAAAGAAGAAATAATACCTATTCTACTGAAGCTTTTCCAAAAAACAGAAACAGAAGGAAAACTTCCAAATTCTTTCTATGGGGCCAGCATTACCCTGATCCCAAAACCAGACAAAGACCCCATCAAAAAGGAGAATTACAGACCAGTATCCCTGATGAACATAGATGCCAAAATATTCAATGAGATCCTAGCTAATAGGATCCAAAAGTACACTAAAAGGGTTATTCACCATGACCAAGTGGGTTTTATGCCTGGGATGCAAGGGTGGTTTAACATTCACAAATCAATCAACGTGGTAGAGTACATCAATAAAAGAAAAGACAAGAACCATATGATCCTCTTAACCAATGCAGAAAAAACA